CTGTCCTATCGGCAGTGCCGGGCCTTCCTTTGTGAGTTGCGCACGATGCTTCGTGGTAAGCATCTGCCGCTCCTGGCGTGGACGCGCAACATGAGCAGCGACGTCCACATAGCCAAACTTAACTTACATACATACATATATATGTTATATGTATATATCCTTGTGCTGTAGTCTACCCTCACCCTCACCCAAGAGCTCGTCATTGTGGATTCAATGCGCCTCCGGCTTCTTGACCGTGTCCCCAGCGCATCCCTCCGCAAGCTCTTCCACATCGGACCTAGCAAGAGCGGAAAGTGCCGAACTGCCCCTTGTAGATGCTGTCAGTACTCTTCAAGTTTAAGATGCTGAGCAAGCACGAACACGGACATTCTTGTACCATTGGCAGTTGCCCACAGAAGGCAGGTCATCACAACAAAAGAAGCAGCCAGCTCGGTCATGTCATGCCATGCCCGGGCACTTTTCACCTTAGCTGCCGGCGTGGAGCCCTTTGCTGCAGCCTCGCCTGCCGCCGAACACACTCCCCGGGCCAGGCTACCGCAGGAAACTCAGGATCCAAAAGCGCTGGGCGGTTACTCGGGGGGGGTTACAAACTAGTGTGAATGCGGCTGTCTTTTCTTCGCCGTCTCGGTCTGCTGGTCTCCACAATCGAAGGCCCAGCCGAGGGAAGCCACATCAACCTCAGATTGCTCAAAGCCACTCCCTGCGCACTATTGCGCGCATACAGAAAATCACCCCCACATTGATATAGACATAAATATATATGTATATAAGGCCCTGATTCTTGCAAAGGTCAGCCACGTTTGAGAATTTCACCTGTTGGGGGATTGACGACTTGGAGTTAGGACCTCTTTCTCGCTGCCGTAGACGTAGCTGTCGTTCCCTTCTAAAATACTAATACTAACTAACAAATCGGAACATGTTGCTTTGGATGGCAGGCAGCATCACTGGGTTCATCAAGGTTCTCCAACTCCAGAGAGCCTGCGGCGGATCTCGGATCACAGCGCTGTGAAGCTTCGGCTGCCGGCACTTTGCCAGAAGGCCGACGGCCCTTGAAAATCTTTTGCAAGGTTTTAAGGAGATGCTGCCACTTTCGCCGGCCCTGGCACTTGCCACGGCCTGCAGCATGCGCCTGCTGCTGGCAGAAGTCGATGCACTTCCGTTGCAAGCACTCTTCTGTGGACTCCTCCTGCTTCTTCCGAGGCAACAGGAGCGACAGACCTCCTGGGCACGCAACGGCGTGCAACTCAGGTTCATGCCGTGCAACGAAGGCTTCGAAGCTTCCCACGGAAGGAGCCCAGTGCTTGTTCCACTTCAGGAATCGGGCCTGCTCCTGCCACTCGACGGGGAAGTTGGAATTCTGAAAGCATCCCAGAAGGCACCGCAGTGCGGCCTCGTCGTGATCCACCCGGGCTTTCTCCACCGGGCCTGTGGTCTTGCGCTTTCGCTTTGAGGCCCTGGGAAGCATCGTCTCCAGGGCCTCGCCCTGCAAGTTGCAGAATGTGGCCAGGTGCTGAAGTTCATTCGCCTCATCGTCGTCGCCAGCCTCACGCATGCTCCGCAATGTCTGCGACAGCAGAGTCGTCAAGTCCACAGCGGGTTCTTGAAGCTCCTCCTGGCCAGTTGATGCTCCCGGGCCGGGTGACTCGGGCTGCGCCTCTGCCAAGCCCTGTCGCCCAACGTTCGCCCTTGCAGCCAATGGAGCCTGCAAGCTCCCAGGTTTCAGCCCAGCCCCAGAGTATCCCATCCGTTGCAATATGGAGAATCCAACTCCATATATTTCGGACAGTTCAGCGTGCGACAGAGGGTCAAGTTCACGGCTGCGATCCATTTCGAGTGTTGCGTCATTGGCTGGATCGACTTCTGGAATACTTGCCGGAGTAAACAGCACAGACTTGGACTGTCCAGGCTGGTCCAGGACACCTGCCTGGGCTTTGCGCCGACGCTTCATGCATAAAGTCGTCCGCAACTACCGACTTGCCAATTTCGAAGCCATGTGCGAAAAAGCTAACAGGGAGGGAAAGACCCTACTACGGTAGCACGTGGGGCCGTGGGGGGTCCTGCAAATACAAAAGACCTAATGCGAAGGAGAGCATGAAAATGTCTGTGCTTGTAAGCCGCAGGTGGCAGCGCTTGCGAAACAGACCCGAATATAGTGCGGCAAAAGCCAGCATGCAAAAGGTTGCGAGGTTGCGAGGGCACCTGAGCTGACAGTGGTGCTGCTGTCATCCTCAGAGTCTGAGCTGGCCTCTCCACCTCAAGCATTGGAGCGCGGGATGCCCCAATGTCACGCTGTGCGGCGCCACTGGCCTTCTTGGTCTGCTGTTTGCGACACGGCCGCCTACAGGATGGAAACGAAACGACACCAACTCGCTGCAAAGCTGTTGCTTCCTCCTGAGAATCCCTCAAAGCTTTCAAATGGCTGCATTTAAGACCTCAGCAGCCGCGTTGCCCTCAATCCCGGGTGCCTGCAGGCGGCAATCACGAGAGCGACACATTCGGTGCCTATTTACCCTACGCGTTCTCCTGCTTAAAGTCCACACCGCGCCAGTAAAGTTCAAGCAGTCTAGGTTAAAATCAAAATGCCCTCATGTCAATGCCTTACGAAGAATGTGCAGGCGCCACATACAGGCATGCAGATTCTGTATCCCTGCATGCATGCATACATACATACATATGCGTACATGTGTGCATACATATGCAAAAAATGCATACATAGACATACATACGTATACATGCATATCCGTACGTACATACACATACACATATGCATGTGTATGCATGAATGATGCAGACTTGCTGTCGATTAAGCTTGAATCCGTTCGAGCGCAAACGCACGCGCATAAACCCTGCCTTCGGGATTTCGACGCCCCTGAGCGCAGCCTGGCAGACGCTCTCTTACTGTAGTGTACGTACAGGGCTTGCATGCATGCATGCATCGAGGCATACAATGTTATACCATTGACAACACTGTGCCGGCTCGGCCGAGATTGCAGACTGCATCTCCAACTGCCATTCGCTGGCCTGCTTCAGGCTTGTTCTCACTGCGATATGATAGTCCGACGGTTCAGCTCAAATCTCAGGCCGCATCCTACAGGTCAGCTTGGTTCGCTTACGCGTACAGCCTTTACCCTGTCTCAAGCCGAGAGGTTGTCGACGACGTCTCATGGGCCTGGTTCGCAAGCTCCTTCGTGTCCGTAACCTGTCCGAGAGAGCAAAAACTCAGAGAGAAGGAGAGAGAGAGAGAGAGAGAGATAGAGACAGAGAGACAGAGAGACAGCAAACCATGTGTTCTAGCAGCAGAGCCAAGATTTGAGATCCGGGATCTGCGGTATCAAATCGACTTACAAGGTCGCAGTACTTGCAGAAGTGACTGCGAGAGATGACGATGTGGAAAGACGACCGGCGGTGCGCTCGTCCACGTGTTGGCAGATAACATCACTGTTCTTTACTTGCGCAAAGTTTCCACAGGCGCACCCGCAGGAGTCGTGCCACGCGCAGCCCTCCCAGCGCAGCAAGCGCTGCATCCGCACGCACCTGGAAAAGTGGACAGAAGTTTGTTGAACTGACAGGCCGCTAGGAATGGTAGGCTTTGGTATCTTTTAGGCCCCACAGCTCCGGAATTCTGGAATGATAATTACCCAGCCTATGCTTTTACTCCTGGACTCCTGCCAAGGCCCATGCTGCGGCAGTGCAGAAGTGGCCAGCGTCCGCCTTGGTCAGTTTATTTCCTGCATGAACTCGCTCAGTCAAGGCCAACCGAGCCAGACGAATTCAGCTCTCATTTTGTCGTGGCAACTCTGCGAGAGGTTACCCCCGAGGTCGCCGAAACGTGACTGGCAAAGGAGGAGGCGTACACGGAGCTGCCGAAGCCCATGACAGCCTGGACAACGGCTACGAGTAACTTATACACCAAGGATTGAATTGCCACGAAGCAACTGCAGGGCCCGGACAAAGTGCAAATGGCTCATCGCTGATCGACCCACGCGGAAGTCATGGACGTGATCGGCCAGGAGAGTGCCTTCGGAGAAAAATCGAAGCCGAGGGCCGAGCCAGTTCCGAGGGCCCCGACCAAAGTGAGCACTGCTGGGCGGAAGAAGACCATCAGTGTAGGTTGACCTTTGTCACTGCGTCTGTGCCGACTCTTGCTCGTCCCCGGAAACCTCAGCTCTTATAGGACCTTAGATCCACGCAAAAGCAACGCAACAATGTCGGTGCTGACCTTAGCCGACGGATGCCGACGGTGTGCATGCAACAGTTGACATGCGGCGCATGACTTGTGCCAGGTACACTCAGCCTTGGACTGCATCTGTGCCTCAGCAATTCGACGAAGGGCAACACAAACGACACTCCGCTCCCTAAGCAGAAACTCCCACACATCGGGTTGTCCGGGGAACGTACGGGAGAGCAGGGTGTCGAATGCAAAGGTCGACAAGTCCTCGATGCTGATCTGCAACTTTGCCTGCAACGGCATTTCAAGCAACAGCTACCGAAATGCTGGTGCATCAAGCCTCCATCAGGATCCGTGTTACGATCGCTGAAACTACCGACACAGAAGTTCGCGAGCTGATGCACCATAAAATTCCATCTGAATCTGGATAACGAAGACCTGCTAACGCTCAGCCCACGCACCACTCAGATCAAGGAATTTCTCTGTCGCAATTTTGAGTCAAGCGCATCGCAGAAGTTTCTGGGTGGTGTGTCGTCCAACAGCACATGGTCCAGCAGTATCTAGCAGTGCTACCGGCAGGTTCTAGATAATCTTCGAACCTTTCAGGGCTGGACCTCCGAGCAAGGCAACAGCGTCGAGCTTCGAACTTCGTTCAGCTTCGTGGCTGACACTACGCTTCCCCCAAGTCAGCTCGACATCATGCGGCGATTTTTCATCAAGGGATTCTCATGCTACATCCGAACCACGACCATGCGCAGCAAGAGTTGTGGATTCAAAGTCTGCCTCGTCAACCCGAAACTTCAGGAGCCTCAGCAGGAAGCGAAGTCTCTGGCACAGCACGGCGGATGGACTCCTCCAGCGCCACTGCCTTGGGAGAGCCGTGGCCATGCCATGCTTCATCCACGAGAAGTCAGTGCGGACTTTGCGCAATCGCTGCCTGAGCTCCTGTCTGTTGCCTGGGATGTTCCTGACATGGAGGCATACCTCAAGGCTCAAAACCATGCGAAAAAGCCCCCGTGATCCCCCGTGATTGCAATTACGACCTGCCTTGGCCTCGGCTCGACGCTGGGAACCGGGCAGGATCCGCACTCTGACGGTGCGGCCTCCGGCGGAGCTCCGGCATCCGCCCGAAGCTTCAGCTCTCTGTCGCGCCCGGGCCCAAGCCGCCAGGCCAAGCCCTGCACGACACGAGCAAGGACACCGGAGTTGCCGGCTACAGCCACAAGACAACATGGTGGGTTCAAGGACTGTGCGGGATGTCTCCGAGGGGCTGCCGAATTTTGGGGGAACTACTGAGCTCGGCAGATCACTTCGCAACCAACTACTCTCGTGGTAGCAAGCTGCGCACTGGCGGAACCGACCAATAACTGGGGCTTCCTGCTAAAATGTAAGGGATGGGAAATAGGGCGAGATGCATTTAGCTGCCAATCAGGTTTCAAGCACCACCACTAACTTTCAAACGGCCAGACAGAGGTGTCTTGCACTGTCGCATGGCAGCTACTCTTATTGCTTCGAGCAGCTATACAACTAATTACTTCGGCTCCAGCTCACATTTTGGAGTCTGATGTTCACCCCGCCAGACTTGTCAGACAATCTTACACCCTGGTCCTCTGGACAGCCTACGCCAAGCACGACCTGCTGGGTCAGAGTCCAGTTCCATATGTACAGCACCATGCGGAGCGTTTGAGCAAGCGAGAGCAGGATGTCTCGTTGCTGAAAACTGGTTGACTCGGATTTTCAAGTCAGCTATCCTGTACTCATCGAAACATGGATTGCAGCATCCGTCGTCTATTCAAACTTCAAACGTGAATCGCAATCTCTCTACTGCGCGCCCGGCGGAATTCATAGTGGACGACTCTCTTTGAATCGTACACAGGCACGAAAATGTCTGCGAAACCGTTGCCGTCCACGTCACCGATTGATGGCCGACCGATGTCTGCTCCAAAGTCTTGCACTTCTTCCAGAGAGTATGTCCAATCAGATTGGTCCTTCGATACAGGTGTCAGAAGAAAAATGCTGTTGGAGTTGTCTCCGGAAACGAAGATATACGGCTTGTCCGTCGAATTAATGTGAGGCTGGAAAGCCAGTGCGTCTCCAGGCGAGGCCTTACCTTTGTCGATCTTGGCAGGCGTGAAGCCCGTGGCTAACACGTGCCGAGTGATCTGTGCTGAGGCAATGTCATCGCTGCTGAAGGAATAAGCAAAGACGGAGCCGTTGACGGCTGCGTGGTTCGTTACCAGCAAGTCCAGGTGTCCATCTGCATTCAGATCCGTCCAGGAGCAAGAAAAGCCGGGGCCAATGGTATCGTCCAGTAGCCGACTGCTCATCGTGCCATTTTGCTGCATGAACCAGTAGACCACTCGTCCGCTCACGAACTCCGGCGCGACCAGAGCCAGCCGAGAGCTGTTGGGATGCACACAAAAAAGGAAGTCTGGCCCCGCACCAAGCTCGTGCTCTTCCCACGGCGGCCCAGCCAAAGCATCCTTCGCCGGCTGCTTCAGCCAAACCAGCTCGCCACGCTTCTTTGCCCAGGGCCAGACGGCATATTCGCATCTGGCAGTGAGGACATCCAAAAGCCCATCCCCATCCATGTCCACAAAGTGTGCCTCGGACAGGCAATGACACAGCCTGGGCGTGCAACTGCAAAAAAAAGTGGCCTGGCCTGGTGGTAGAACCAGCCAGACAGGTCTTTGGAAATCTTGACCTGAGAAGCAGCTAGGAGCATCCCAGAGGCATATGCACATATGGCTCTCGTTTGCTCTTGTCTCTTGTCAGCGGTTTCCCTGTGACTTGCAGCTGCGGGACAGGCTCCTGGAGAGTGGATGGCCGGGTCGATGCCTCGAGGGGCGAACTCATCAGCTTGGCCCAGCTTGGCCTGGCTTCCAGGCCCAGGCCTCCATGACATAGACACCACCTGGAATCGGAACGGTCGATCTCCATCTCAAGAAGCTCACCCCCATGCCCCCACTGTCCAGCCTGTCGTGTGCGTTGGTACAAGGAAGCCGTTCCCAACAGCCACCGCGGCGAAGCCGAAAACGCTGGCATTCAGAGTTGTGATGCCTCAGCTGTAAGACCGTAGAAAGCTTGGGCACCCGTAACGACGACATGCTGAGGCAGCAAGCCAAAGGCGAGGTGCTGTTCGGCCAATTGATCTGGCCGCTGCCTGGCACCTCCTGTTGAGCCGCAATTCGTCTGGGGTTATATAAATATATACAATACCCGAGAGAATGACTGCTGGTCGCCGGTCCTGGGCAGGTCCGGAATGAGATCCCACGTCCACGAGGAAGACACCTTAAAATCTTGCCAGATCACGGCTAGCGGCTAGGCTATCTCAGTCTTCTGTGAGGTGCCATTCTTGCCCACGAAGGGTGTCGCCTCGAAGCTTGTTACCTCAGGACACCAGCCGAAGGCAGATTTGAAGAGGCTGATGCTGTGTGAACTGGGACTCGCACCACCAGCTTGCCTGGCAGCTGCGGCGATAGGGCCTGAGAAAAACTCATCCGACCATCCCGCACTGCTGAGTTGCTACTGCAAGTCCCGTCGAGGCTCTGTGAACCCCGGAGGGATGGGCATGGAGATGTTCTCCTCTGCAACACGAGGGGATGCATACATCCAGCGATAATCGTCACCAATGCAAGTCCTTGAGGTCCAGTTCGAATTCATGGCGACGGAGATCACCGGCCGCACATCCAGCCAACAAAAGCACCCCAAACCTGCCAACCGCCAGAAACAAGCTACGAGGCCTCTAGTGAGGTCCAAACGCTTGACAAGCCGAAGGCCTCCATCTCGGCGCTGCACAGGGCATGGTGTCAGACCATGCGCACATACTCTTGAGCCAATGCTTGCAGAGAACTACAGTAGCTACTTCCCTCGTCTCTGAATGACGTGGCATGTCTGCCGTGGCCCTGATACGAAACTAGACAATGCCTTAAACCATGGCATCCAGAAACCAACGGCCAAGAAGACAAGCTGACAAGGGCACGACCACGACCTCCCTATCCCATGGAACGTCGCCCCTACTATATGCAGGGACAGAACGCCAAGTCTAAGTGCCTGCAATCCCGAGGGCAGCGAGGCTTGCGGCAGTAGGCAGCCTCAGAGTTTTCCACTTGACGTGGTTGATGCCGTATCTTGTCCCGATATTAAGTTCCTGGCGAGCTTGATGAGGGCCACGGCATCCTGCAGAAACGGGCATTAGAAGCTCTTACTTCCCTTGCACCACAATGCGTCTGCTCTCTTCAGCCGTGCCCACAACACAAAGCAGCTGTATTTAGGAGCAGCATTGCGCATCGCTTCTCACCTTGGGGACTTGGCAACATGACTTACCCTCGCCTCTTCCAGGCAGGGGCAGATTGCCAGCGTCGTGACCGAAGCTTGTGAAGTACCCCAAAATAGGTGTGGGCTAGTGATGGTTTTATCAGGGGCACCTTCGTCAAACGGCCCTCTCGGAACACCCTTGATCATGTCCGATAGTTACGCCTTGTGGTCATGCTGACACAACATTGCAACAGGGAGTGAAAGATCGGCTCCAATGGATCGTGCTATCAAGAGAACTCTGGACTTCATAGCAAAGCTTCCGGGTGCAATGGCTTCGAGCTGTGCCACTACATGTTCTTTCTGCCCGTGTCCACATGTCCAGCTCAGAGCCAGCAAGTTTTCGGAGCCGGCAGTCAAGGCACGTTCCCACATGTGGCATTCTGTTTCAGGCGCATCATGGACCCAACGACTTTCCTGGAAGGCCTGCCTTGGGCCACGTTGCACTGAACAGCAGAGTCTGCCGCCTGGTAGGGCAGTCCTGGCGGATGTGACCGGCGTTTGCACCAAGTATGACGGAAGTGTCAATAACCGGCTAGTCCTCCACGATTCTTCTAATTTGCGGCTCGAAGCCCATATCCAGCATTCTGTCTGCCTGCCACCAGGCTGCCACGTTCGCAGTGCTTTGCCGACAGCTGCACTACAACCAACTGGTATCAAAAGCCAGGACCGAAAGCTCAGCGCTTCGTCTAAGGGACACAGCCAACTTCGCTCTGGCACAGCCTGACAGCACAACTGACGAAGATCTCGCCCACGCCCCAATGCTGAATTCAACTCATAGTCAACCCCAAAAGGCCCTCTCATTGTGCGTAACAAAAGCGTCTTCAGCCCGCTCGAAAGAAAGGAACTAGCCGTTGCCCCAGCGCCTCGTCTAGTGTCAGATACGAGACTTGACCGAGCCAGACTTGCTGCTTCTCGCGGAACTGCATCGGCGATAGCTTGGGCTGTGCTTTCTTTGTGTCTTCTACGTCTGAAGGGTGGCACAGGTTTGGGCTCACCGCGATTGCAGCTACTACCGGATGAAATGGTGCTTGTTCCCCATATCCCCACAAGAAGTGCCAGTTTTTGTGAGAAGCCTCAAACCAACAAACCACAACCCGAATATGTGCAAAAATCATGACGATATTATCTTTTGCTACCTGTACAGCTGCTGGCAGCAAGGGTAAGACTCCGTCCTTGGCGCTCATGATGATGACTCTAGGCCGGTCTGCTGACTACAGGTTCGAGGTACATGCAGGCTCGGCAGGACGAAGGAACTTAGAGGGATTGAGGAATCTATAGTCTATAGATTGGAGAAACTATCTGCACTACAAGGTCAAACATTCTAATGTCGCACTGGAGAATGCAAGCTGACCTTAAATAAAACTGGAATCCTGGGCTTCACCTTCGAGTAGCTGCATCCGACAGGCATCCCCAACAACACATACAAAATCGACCGAAACTCTGATGCCCAGGTTCCTGCCCGCAACTCTGAAATAACCCGATGACCCCTCAAATCAAACTCAGGAAGCCCTTGTTCCATCACAGAACCTTGCAAGAAAGGCTACCCTTTGGACTCCGGGGGGGCCTCATTCAAACGGCCGGGCGTGGCCACGATGATGTGGCAGCCCCGTTTCAGCCACTGGCATCAAGGCGCATTCGTTTTGGGGGCCAAGTCATGTGGCCTGGCAGTAAACCGTTGCACCTCGAGCTGCTCGCCCTTGGACTCGCCGCCCGTGCAGTTGCAGCAGAGAATGCCCGAGGAGCGCCCGAAGCGGAGCGCCTGGAGGCGACTGCTCTTGTTCCGTCTTCTTTTTCAGGTCTTCTGCAAGAAGATGGATTAGACTGGCTACACCAGAACTCCAAAACAGACCGCTGCGACAACGAAGCACAGAAACGAAGAAAACCCTCGCCTCCAGCTGGATCTGCCGTGCGAGCTCTCGGGTAGGTGCCAGCACCAGCGCCTGCGAGGGGCGTGCGTTTTGGAGCAGCCGTCAGAGTCGAAGCCTGCTACCAGACATGAGGCGGTCTGGGTCCACTCTGGACTGGACCTTGGGATTTATGGGTACTGTGTAGGACCAGACAGTTTTTCAGCGTGCAGGATGCTGGTGCCACGGGGGTAGCACAATCAACACCAAGTGGTACAGCGACAAGAAGTGCATGAACAAACTATCGATTTCCATGTTGAAAATAAACTGCTGCATGCTGGTGGCAAAGATTGCAAAACTAGGCAAGTCAGGTTTGCTCACTCGATTTCAGATCCCTCGCTGTCGCAAGCTGAAACAAGGCTTGGCGGGCAGCTGCCAAAGTCTCACTCTCTGCGCCCAGCTTAAGACACTGAACTGCGACTAACCGAATCCTGAACCCTTAAACAGCTGCACACACAAAAAATCTTGTGCAATCCCCACGGAAAACTGACTTGCTGTACTTCCATCCAGCCAGCCATGCGGAACAGAACGGACGGCGCTCCCACTTTTGCCGCGCTTCCCGCATCTTCTACAACGAATCACGCGACAGTACCCAACAAGGAGCCGAAAGTTGCACTCAGCTAGCATCTAGTGAGGAAGAGACGGGAAGAGGCGTCACCAGCATTGGGCGGCGCACGTTGCAGTCTCAAGAATTCAAAAGCATGAGACATCCGTCGGTCCGTCAGCCCTGTAGCACATGTTGTGCACACAAGCGCCGAACGAATAGATTTGCAAGCATCAGTAGCTTCCTCTCCTCTGCCTGGGCTTAGCTGATCCGAGCGTATGCCCCGCAAAGCTCCCGCGGACCTGCGCCGACGGAGCTGCGCTTAGCGATGCTTGGCGGCTAAACTGAAAGCTATGGTGAAGGAGGTGCTCCAAAGACGAAGACAAAGGCTACCAGCAGTAACTTCTTTCCATAAGGTGTCAATGGGCTGTAATTATCAAGGTCGCTTGCTCACTGTGAAGTCTGTTTTCTGGGTATCCACACAGCAAGCATTTGAAGAAAGCCATGGGTGGCCTGGTGCTGACATGGGTCTGGGCATTGCTCTCTGGCCACGTGGGGCCTGCAGGCATTCCGGCATCTCGACTTGTCACCAACACTCTGAAGCAACCTTCATGTTACGAAGCAGCGACGTTGCGAGTCCTAACTTCCTAACAGGTCTCGATCGGGGTACTGTAAAGCCACCGAAGAGCGGGGCAAGGCATTCACCGGCAGGCAGGGCTTGGCAGCCTCAACTTGCCAGCGGCACAGTGAGGTGATTGGCAGCCTCGTTTCGGTGCCTACTCTTCTGGCACACGGAAGGTTTCGCCCATCTATTGCAAGTTATCAGTGTGCTCTGTCTGGCATACCAATGACGATCCCACTCCAATAGCTGCACACGACTTCTACACTACTATCCAAACTATAGAGCACCATGCAAAGCAGAGAGCATGACCGTATGCAACAAAACAATGTGCTTTGCTCTGGGCTCCCGAACGGCTGGCGCAGCGCTGACAACGAGTCATAGAAGGTCTGAAGGGCCTTCATAAAGCGGAGAGTTCAGGCAAGGCTTTCCTCTGCGGAGACATCGAAAGAGAGCTGTCGGGCGCTCAGAACCCAAGCCAAGTCCAAGCCAAGTGTTCTCGGGAAGCCTTGGCTTCGGCATCCAGGGCAGGCTCCTGCGCTGCTCCAAGTCGGCTTCAAAAGCTTGAGCTGAGCAGGATGCAAATGCTTAGATACGCAGCACATGGGCTTTCGAGGGCAAGGCCGCGGCGCTGGCTTTTTGATGCGAGTGTTACGCACGTTGGGATGTTCACGCTACATCTCTCCTCACTCCATATCGGAGACGTACTACAGGGACGGACACGATAATTAGATCTACGCTTTGGCAGCTTTGGCACCTTCGAAGCTTGGGACCCGCCAAGGGTGCGATTGTGCGGGCCTCGGCCTCGGCAGGTCTCCGCATGTTTCTGCAGAGCACTGCCGAAGGACTCAGACTTAGCCCTGAGCTTCTCCGGCTGGGGAAGCTCAGACTACGAAACCAGATCGAGTGGTCTGCACCGTGTCTGGATCCATCTTCCTGCCAGGGACCATGCACGAAGCACAAAGGCTGCAGGCCTTGCAGCATGCTGCAGCTATATGTCTAATGCATACGGACTTCTCAATTTGATAGATAGCGCATGATAGCGGATAGACCGTCTAGCAGCTGCGCAGAACTCCGCGGTGAAAAGCAAAGAAGTTTGGACCCTCCCGGTCTTCGAGTTGGAAAACTGGCCTCAGCTCACGAACAGTCCATTTCAGTCATCAAAGTCAGCCGCAGCTTGGCCGATGCGGGACTCTAACACAACTCACGATGGGCCAACCTCTGTACCACCGCGAGATTTCTGACCACACTCTCAGCAGGCGATGAAGGCTTCATAATA